GCCCAATGGTAAGGCCTTCGCTCTGCGCCTGTTTTCCGAATTGGCGTATTGGCAGTGTGCCTGTCGACAAGGACACGATCAAATAACTCCAGTTGTGTTGATCCATTTGGGAAGCACAAAATAAGAGCAAGTCGAGGTTTGAGAACCATCAAATGAATTGCTAAACAGGCAGAGAGAGTTATTGGCACAGCTCTGTGCAAGTAGTGAACGGGGAAACGGATACTGTTTTCGAAACTGATGGCCTTCACCTGAACAGATTAACAACGAACGGCACAGAAAAGCCTAGCCGTGTTCTTTGCGTCCAGCAGCCATAAACATGTTGTGAGTGAGTGCTGGTTTGAGACCATGATGTTAACGAATAGCGGGGTAATGAGAGACAGCAGTCTTACGATGTCAAACTTCATCTATAATGGCGGACACGAGCTTTTGGCCCCGAGTCTCCGTTATGTCTAATGTCTTGGCAAATACACTGTGAATCATTAAATTCGTTCGTTCAGTGAACACGCGCACATGTCGATATAGGTGCCAGCCAACGAAGAACACTTTACAACATCCGCATGCAAACAAAATGTGACACTGGTTTCTAGATATATGTACATCGTACGTATGCCATATTTTCCAGGCGTACATCTTATCTCACACTTCACACATGCATCTTACATAATAATTTTCCACAAGGTACGTCTTCAGTAATTCAGGTTCTCGTTATTGGCCCAAAAGGAGCACACGTGAAACGTACAGATCCCGACTCTAAAACAGAAAATTATCATTCGATGCGTTGCTGGATGCAAACATTGTAATGCCTCATAAAAACGATGTGGTGGTAGTGCAGCATTCTTCAGTAAGACGTTTGAGTCAGATGATGTTATAAAATGTTCTTTGGTGACTTCCCATATTCATAAGCGTGCATGATTTTGTTTGTGCGCGTGAATTTGCTGTTCAACGTGACTTTGAGAAAACTCGAGTTGGGGGAAACCCTGGATCAAACGTTCGTCTTTGCTATTTGTAGGTGAAGTGTCATATTATGAGACTGTGCTTTCTCATTCACATGCTTGGTACCCTTAAGATGTTATATGTTACAATAGTCCGTCTGCATTGCCACCAGACGTAAATCAAGGTTACTTCATTTGTCATACTGAAAACACCGGCAGTCGCGAGTCATGTGGGAATTCGGTCGTCGAGCATTGCCAATCGTATATTAGATCACAGCACTACACATCGTACCAAAATACCAATAACTACATCCATCACGGTCATTTTCAAGAAAATAAAGCGCCGTGCTGGGTTATGATATGCCGTGTGGACAAGTTCAAGCTCTGTTGCAAACAGAAAGTTTTTGGTGTTCAGTTATGGTCAGTGACGTTCTTTGCCCGTCAGAGGGTCAGGGTAACCAGGACCTACGAGACTGCTCCGGTGTTGCTATTCGAATAAGCAACAGGGATGACGCTGGCAGTGTATACCTAAAGCAGCATGTTGCGCTGGGTCATTTTACCTAAATAAATTACTCTATTTTTCTACGAAATATCCATGAAACTCATTTGTTTGTTGCCCTGGTCACTGAAAAATTCTAAACAATCGCCAAAAGGCACCCCATAACGCAAGGTCTTGAGTGAAAAACATATTTGTTTTTACCTCGATGTGCCCGTCATACCTGACCCTAGGTCAAGAAAGTTTGTCGCTTTTCTAAATTCAATTGGCGTATTGCCTAGGAAACTATCCCAGGATTGTATCGCTTCATCTAAAACGACGCTGCCGCATCAGATTGAACGATTCCTTACAATGGCCTTGGTCGACGCTATGTTCTGATTTTGACATGCATAGATAAGCGATCTTACAAGACATGTCTAATTTTTGGGTTAATCGATCCGCTTTCAGCTGCTTACAGCTACGTGAGCAATTTCCGAGCGTCCTTTCCATAGCGCCGTTCGGAAATCATTCTAGAAAAAGTTTGAGGCGTCAAATTGGCCTTCACCCGAGGCGCGTATTCTGACCCTTGGAAACAGAACTCACCAAGAATTGGCTGGCAGCGTCGAATGTTGAATATAACCAAAGTGCGAAGCACATTTGCTGTGCGCCATATGGACAATGCGAAAGTCGGAGATTAAGGAAAAGTATCACTGAACTAGTGGCATCGGCTGGAAACCGATGTAAGTGGTGCATTGTCAAAACTTGATTACGTCACCGAACTGGTCACTGCACTTCATGGGCTTCTACATGTAATTGCGTCCCCTCATTGATCAACAATTGCTGGTTGAATGGCATCGTATTTTTGTGATCAAAGTGAGCAAACTGCTAGTTATTCCGAGGGAACATATCGAGGCAACTCCTGCTCAACTCCTTTGAATGGCACACTTCCTGCATACTGGTCAGAACTGTGTGGGCTGTACTGTGCTTGGGTCCCTTCACTTGGATTTCGGACTAATATCACGGCATGGGCGGAGTTAATGAGTTTCACGTCGGTCAAAACCAAGCTCACTATTGCAGTTCAATGCACTCAGCACGCTTCCAGTTTCAGTCCGGTGTGGAAGATGCTCCACTGACTTATAGGCGTGCATTTACCACCGGCCGTGACCGCCAGAACTTGGCCCACCTGGTGGACATCCCATTCAGTGGAGGAGAGACCAACATGCTGGCCTTCGTGCCGTACATCCACATGAGGGCGTACCTGGAGCACACCGGACTGTTGACGCCCGAGGAACGGGACCGGACCACCATCGGCATGAGACAAGGTGAGACAGAGACCTGGAGCATACAGGACAGCTAACGTCCCGTGACCAGGACCGGACCACCACCGGCATGAGAGACTGGAACCTGTGGATACTTTGAAGGTGAGCAGTATCAACTCGACAACCACGGTAAGTGAGAAACAAATACGTACTAGGGACGCACTGTGACACTACGATACCCTATGAGACTGAACATGCGTGAGCAGAAGAAGCAACACATGAGCCACAGGGTGAACACGAGCGAGAGACACATCGAAACATGACCAGTAACACATGGGACATGGGGACCAGCAATCACATGGGGACAGAGCA